CCCCCTGGGGGCATGAGGGGCTTCCAATGGACATAAGTGTACCACTTCTGTAAGGCTTGAATGATAACAAGCCTTCAGCCACTAGATGGCAGCAACTCATACAGTGGTTTGTATCAGGTTCTCAATAGTGTTTAAATTTGCCTGGGTGTAGGTTGGGTGTGAAAACATTTCTGTCCACAAGGGGCGGGCGGGGGGGGGCGTGACAGAAAATAATTAATTAACTGAGTTAGACAGAAGTCCAGGTGGTTGTCCGTCTGTTGTGGCCTCACCTTGGAGTGGGAGATGGTCAGACTGTCCACCGGCTGCCGGGACTCGAACAGCTGGATCTCCTCGATCACGTGGGTCTCTGTTCCCAGGACCACGGCCCTCTGCAGCCAGCCTCCTCCTGGAGACGGAAGGAAAAGAACAATTTAGGTTGGACTTCCTCCACCTCCGTCTTCCTTCATCTCCGACTGCAACCCCCCCGCCCCCGGAGGAATAGATGTGAAAGTGCAGCTTCCCGAAAAGGCCTAGCTTCAAATCATCCAACGCACGTGAACGCTGTGTATATTTATCTTTGTAACTTTTTAACTCTAATGTTTATATATGCTGAGGACAAACAGTCAAATATGGAGGACAAAGAAACTGGAAACAAACATGTGGTCCACGTGGGTAGCAGCATGTGGACCACATGGTTAAAGAGGACCGTGTCCAGCAGCAACTCGGTGAACACAACCGAGAGAGACACTGAGGCTGAGGCTCGTATGAAAAAAAAAACCCAGTTCATTAAGATTTGGTGACCTCTGGTGGTCAAATGTATAAAGTGCAGCTCGGATGTGTACCGCATGTGGTTGACGACTCCACAGAGTTGAATCGACAGCTTCTGATCAATCGTCAATCAGGTCGATATCGATACCTCATATCATTGAGGTGCGTGGGAGAGCGGCTTAACTAGCAGTAGAACCAACTAACTAGCAGTAGTACCAACTAACTAGCAGTTCCAAACTAACTAGCAGGGGCTGACGGAATGTCGGCGGGGACAAAGTTCTGCACCTGTGCCGATGAAGAGCATGTTGTAAGACCGCTGGTCCAGGGCAACCACGCGGTCCACCGCCAGCTTGGTGAAGTTGATACCCTTGGTGAGCAGCAGGGGGCGAGAGAGAGCCTTCTCATCCATCAGTGGATGCTTTTTGGCAAAGTTGAGCGTTCCGTCAGGCAACTGCAGCGAGCTGCTGAAGCCGTTCTCTCTGTCTGCATTAGTGATGCACTGA